TTTTGCCACGTGTGGCTTGTTCCTTGTGATTACATACAGCCTGACCCATGACAGCTTTAGTCATGTGACCTTTCTTAACCCTCAGAGTATAAATTGTCTGGGGGCTCTGAATAAACTTTGCTATTGCTTGAGACTTTATTGACTTATTTATTTTTACTTTATGTGCATTTGGTGTTTTGTCTACGTGTGTGTCTGTGTAAGGGTTTCAAATCCCCTGGAACCTGGGTCACAGACAGTTTGAGCTGCCCTGTGGGTACTGGGAATTGAACCAGGGTCATCTGGAAGAGTAGCCAGTGCTTTTAATGACTGAGTCATCTTTCTAGCTGGACAGTTTTTATTTTAAAAAATAAATTTATAAATGGATTGATAAGGCTTTTAGACAAATGAAACAAAGAGTTTTAATGAAAATTCACTGTAGAAGGGAAAAAAAACTCTAGGATCTGTCTTAAAGCCAGGAAGACAGACACCACTACATTGTAACAATTACTACATTGTAACAATTGTAGTGTCTGTGCTAGGAATGAAACATGTCAGCACCGACTGACAGTCCTTCCAGCATATGCTTTCTTTCCTAAAAATATCTAAATCATGTCTATCTTGGTGACATGAATATTGTCTTCTCTGTAGCATGCATTTAAATAAAATAAAACCAAGAGTTCTACTCAGTTCCTGCTGTATTAGGAAAATAGTCAAAGGTAGATACTTTATAAAGATGCACTATCTTATTAAGGTAAAGATACCATTTATTACTATAAACATTTGCATTTTTTTTTAAGGAAAGTGACATTTATGGGATTTGAAGAACAAAGTTTTATTCAAATACTTGGGTTTTCACAAACCATTTCTTTTTTTCCTATATTAGAATTCTTTATCCCTTTTTACTTTTAAGGGTTTTTGTTTTTGTTTGTTTGTTGTTTTGTTTCGCAACAGGGTGTCTCTGGGTAGCCTTGGCTGTCCTGGAACTTGCTCTGTAGACCAGGCTAGCCTCACACTCGGAGATCTTCTTGCCTCTGGCTCCCGAGTGTTGGGATTAAAGGTGTGCACCATCTTCTGGCCAGCTTCTTCTGGAAGTTTTTAAAAGATGGCTAGGCTGTTTGTACTGAAAAAAAAAATCAGTCATAGTTTATTCCTCATACCCTTGACATTGCTTTTTGTGTGTGTGTAGGTTCATATGTGTGCACAGGTGTGTAACTATGTGTACATATATCCATTTGGAGGCCAGAGAACCTTTGTGCTGCTCTTCAGGTGATGTTTACCTTTGTGTGTGCTTCTTTCTTTCTTTCTTTCTTTCTTTCTTTCTTTCTTTCTTTCTTAATTTCCTTGTTTTGTTTTTGTCTTTGAGACTGGGTCTCTACATGTTCTGGAACCCACCAAGTAGGCTATGCTGGTTTCCAGTGTGGGTTCTGGAGATTGAACTTAGGCCCTCATTCTTGCAAGGCAGGCACTTTACTGATTGAGCCATCTCCCCAGATCTCCAATTTTTTTTTTTTAAATGCCAGGCTTTATCCCTTCCATACTAGAAATTGAACTCCATCCATTGTGTGCCTGCTAGGCAAGGGCTCTTCCACTGAGCTATTTGCTGACCTCCTCACTGTGTTTTTGTTCTGTTTTCTTTTTTTACTTTCTACATGTATTTATTGCCTCAGATGTGTTTGACTCCTTCCTGCTCATCGGATTCCTTACAGCCAGTGGGCCTTTTCCCACAGAATGCTGAAAGCTGGCTCCAGAAACCAGGGATGGGATCACAAACACAGAGGGTCTTACACACCGTGAAGGTTCAGATCACAAGACTAGACTCTGCCCCAGGATCACTTTGTCAGAGGAGGTCTCTAAAACATTATGCAGATCGCTTGGCAACTCCCATCTCCCGGCCCATCTCTATCAACTCAGAAATTATTAATTGGGAGTCTATTCTGGGATACTCATTGTACTGGTTAAAGTGATTCACACTAATGAGCAATGACTGATGGGCTGAATTCTCCAAGGGGCAGTCATGTTTCTGAAGTGTGACATTAATCCAGATAAACCTCCCATTCATAGAGTAAAAGTGAAGCTGACCGTTAACACAGTAGTTGGGAGCACCCATGACAGACAAAGGGGCCTTCTATCCACTTGATGTCCCAAACAGTTCTCCTAGACCTCAGAAAGTGGCCAGGACATTGTAAGGTCGGGACAGTCTGTGCACACGCTGGAGGGTCTCTTTTGGGATATAACTGTGTATATGTGTGATGCTCTCACCTCTCAGCCATCTAGCTCAGTGGTTCTCTACCTTCTCAATGATGCAACCCTTTAAAACACTTCCTCACGCGGCGGTGAGCCCCCAACCCTAAAATTATTTTCTTTTAACATTCATTTTTATTTAAATGGAAAACCGTCTTATTTCACATACCAATCCCAGTCCCCTCCCATCCCCCCCATCCACTCCTCAGGGAGGGTGAGGCCTCCCATGGGGGATCATGGAAACCTGTCACATCATTTGGGGCAGGACCCAGCCCCTCCCCCATATATCAAGGACAAGGGAGTGTCCCTCCATAGAGAATGGGCTCCCAAAGCCCATTAATAAATACTGGCTCCATTGCCAGAGGCCCCATACACCGTCCAAAGCTCCTCAACTGACACCCATGTTCAGGGGACCTAGTTTGGTATCTTTTGTTTTCTGATGATCTTAGGCAACCCCTGTGAAAAGGTCATTTGACCCCACAGGTTGAGAACCATTGCTCTAGCTTGGGGTTTATGCTGTCTTCACCTCTGTTCTAGATTATGAAGTTTGTATTCAGGTCATGGGTAATCCTTATTTGTTCAGATTTTTTATTCCTGTTGCTGTGACAAGTAACTTGACCACAAGCAACTTCAGGGCGAAAGAATTTATTTGGCTTATAATTCCAAATGGCATTTCCTCATTGAAGGGACTCAAGGCAGGCCTGTTCGCTATTCCATGCAGTGTTCCTCCTGACCAATGAATGACCTCACTTCACAGCCAAATAAGCGCGGCAGGAATTGTGGAGAACACCATATGCATATTCAGCTAGCTCTTTTATACAGTTCAGATCATCGGCCGGGGATGGTACTGTTCACAGTGCGCTGGACCCTCCCACATTAAATAACAGACAAAACCCCACAGATACGCCCATGGACTAATCCAGTCTTGGCAATTCCTTTAATTGAGCCTCAATCGGGTAATGGTAGGTTATGGTGTGCTGACATTTACAACTAAGCAGCATATATACTGTTCTTTCACCGTGAGTTCAGGATCCCATTCCTCAATTTTCCATGGAACATTCTCTGGATGCACAACCTTTTAAAAGATTTCAGGAGGGCAGTCCCAGAGTTATGAGGTTCTCACCCTTACCCAACCCACCCCCAGATTACTGGAATATTTAGCATGAGTTGGAGATGAGAGGCAGCAGAAACTTGGTCCAAGTAAAATAGCCTATTTCCAAATCCCAAGCAAACCACAAAATAAAACAAACAAACAAAAAATCTGGCCTGTGCCACCTTGCAGTGGTTAATATATCTGGCTGCTTCAGAGTCCTGCCAGCTTATGCCACTGTATGTCAGTTTTGTTGCCCACTTGACATACCCTGGGAAAGGAAACCATCACTGAGGAATTGCCGCCAAAAGATGAGCCTGTGGGGACATCTGGGGAACACTGTCTTGATTGCTAGCAGGAGGGCCAGGCTACTACTGCAGGCTCAACCATCCCCAAGCAGGTGGCCCTAGGAGAGGTAGTTGAGGGTGAGCTAGTAAACAACCATCCTTGGTTTCTGCTTCAGCTCCTGCCTATGGGTTCCTCCTGCCCGGCTTCCCTCCAGAATGGACTGTAACTGGTAACCCAAACAAATCCTTTCCTCTCCAGTTATTTTGGCTCATGGCATTTATCATGGCAACAGAAAAGCAAACCAGGACACTGGAAGTCTCATGTAGCTCTCAGGCTATATCACTTCTGTATCTGGTGATGAAAAGAAAACAAACAAACAAACAAACAAACAAAACGATTAAGAGGTGTGCCGGACAGCAGCTCTGTCAGCCATCAGAAGATCTGGAGAAACTCCGCTGGCTTTTCCGTTCTGGAAACTTAACCGCGGTGGGAAGGGAGACAGGAGTGAAACAGGTACCCGAGGGGACAAAACTCCCCCTCTCATATCTGCTAGAAGGACTTCCCCGAGTCGGCCCGTGTGCCCATGTTCTCAGTGGAGCGCTTGCAGGACCAGGGAGGGCAAGAAAAAAAAGCACCCTCGATTATCAGCCAGAGCGCTGCGCCTGGCCGCGCCGGAGATGTTTAATTATAACTCCCACCGCTTGCCCTTTTACAGCCCAGCTAGGGCTTGAACCTTCATCCCAGTACCCTTTATCAGCCTTTGGTAGACGGGTCACTTGGGATGTAGGAAGAGAACCAAGTTTCCAAAGTGAGAAGACAAAAGTAGTCAAATCTCCCAGCTCTCGACTGTTTACGAGCGGGAAATGAGCGGGCCCCAAGAGGTCGCTGGTGGCGCAGGAACCGAGACCAGATTGTAGAGAGCGGAGGAAGAGAAAAACAAAAATCACACACACCCAGAAACTTTTCTTCCTTGTTGCTGATGCTCGGCCCCCTCCTCCCTCCCTGCCCGCCCCGGCAGAAGTCGTAACGTGACACCAGGCAGAGCGAGGAGTCCTGGGGTGGAGAAGGAGGAGAGGGCCGGGGAGGGAGGAGAGCGGGGCCGCCTCGCGCCGGAGAGAAAGGGGAGGAGAGGAGAGGAGAGGAGGGAAGCCCCTGTCAAGGAGGTGGAGCGAGAGGGTGGTGTCCGCCTCCCGATCCTCCCTGCCTGGAGCTAGCCGAGCCTGAGTCGGGACCAAACACGCCGCCCGAGCGAGACCCACACAAAGCCCGGGGGGGTCCACGCTGGCGCTCGTGGCGAGCCGTGAGCGAGCCCGGGGCCCAGGGCTGCTAGCGGGACGCGCGACCGCGAGCGGGCTGCGATCGCCACCCCCACGCCGGGGCCCGGGACATCTCCGGCCCTCCGGGGGGCCGCAGCGGGCGGCGGGGGGGACTAAGATGAGGAGGGTGCCCTGAGCCCGGCAACTTCGGCCCCTCCCCGCCCCCACCCGGCTGCCCTCGGCGCGTCCCTCTCCATGTGCAGCCGGCCGGCCAGGCGCTCCGGCTGGCGGCGGATGGGTGACCTCTTCCTGGCCCGGGCGGGCTGTGCGAGGCGGCGGAGCCGGCGATGAAGAAGCAGCAGCAGCCGCAGCCGCAGCAGCATCCCAGCGGCGGCGAGGATGCCTGGCCCCATGGGGCCCCTGTGGGGGGCGCCCCTCCGTGCCTGGGTGGCTGCAAGCGCCGGATCCCGCTGCTGCCTTTCCTTCGCTTCTCCCTCCGGGACTACGGCTTCTGCATGGCCACCCTGCTGGTCTTCTGCCTGGGCTCCCTCTTCTACCAGCTCAGCGGAGGACCCCCTCGCTTCCTGCTCGACCTGCGACAGTATTTGGGTAAGAGAGAGCGGCGTCGGCCCGACAAAGTTGGGCACCCGGGGGAAAGAGTGATAAGCAGAGAACGTCTAAAGCTGTCACAGCCGCCAAGGTTCCCGAGGCTCCCTAGGTGCGATGCCAGTGAACATCCCTCCTAGTGGCAGCTGGGAGCGCCTGCTTCCTTCTGCGCGCCCGGCTGGCCGCAGCTGCACGGGGCTCCGAGGCCGGGACACCTCGTGTACCTGTCTCCTCTCACTACTCCAATTGTGGCCGCGTACGTGTGTGTGTGTGTGTGTGTGTGTGTGTGTGTGTGTGTGTGTGTACTCCAATACAGTCCTGTCTGGCTTCCTGGGTTGTGGAGGGTGGGGTTAGCTCAGCCCTCCAGTCACTTGTAGAAATTCTATCCAGTGGGTCCCCATTTGTGGGTTGGCCCAGGTGGCTCCACTCTGTCCCTGAGCTGGCTTGTCCCTTGGCAGCACCTTGGGGACTGCAGCGAGAGTGCCTGAGGAATCGGGCTTGTTAGAAAGGTGTCAGTCATCGGTTTAGCCTCCGGTGACCTGGCGAACTTCCGCCCCATGTGAGTCTTAAGTCAGAACTTATTTTTCTTTTTTGGTTTGTGGCTAAGGGAGAGGTTGGAACCCAAGAAAACAGAGATTTCGGTGAGGTGTGACCTCGCTGCTGTCTCATGGGGCTTCCGAGGGTAGAGCTTGGCCAGCAGGAGGTCCCAGGGGTGATGCCTTGGCCAAGCCAGGATGCAGATTCCTTGACTTCTGTAGCCAGAAGAGGTCGTGTGGAGGTTGCGTCTGAGGTGGTAAACATAAGCGGAGGGTCTGCAAACAGTGGTCATCTGTAGGTCCAGAGTGGGTGCAGGTGGGCACCTCGTCAAAGTGTTGGAAACAGAAAGGACTAAATGGCCCGCCAGACGTCTACATTTATCCCCAAGGTCCTTTCCTCACCGATGCAACAGGTCTAGAACAAGAAAACCTCGAAAACATACCAACAAACGCCTTAGGGGTAAACTGAAAAACCAGTATTCAGGTTTTTAAAATTAAAAATTTCATTTCAGTAAAAGTGTTGGGGGCACTGCGACTTTTGAAAGAACCTCCATGGAAGATTAAAGGAAAATGTTGCCTGGGTCCGATTTCCCAAGCACAATTCTTAGCATCTGGATTTACGGTTTTGGGTTAATAACCCCCCCCCCCCCTTAACAATTGGTCAGTGTAACCTTCATTGTAATTCTGCACTTTGGAGTCTTAAGCCTTCTTGTCTCTCAGACACCTGCTCCTGGCAACTTTATCTCCGCTGTCAGGAAGAATAGGTACCTGCTCGTATGGGGACGTGTTGAAGCTCAGGGAGATTCCACGGGAGTCCCATCCCGTGCCACACCCCCCACAAACTCCTTTTAAGGGAAGCATGAAGTCAGGGGTGTCAATGTGTTGTGTGGGATTGGGAGGTCTCTGTAGCCACTCTTCCCAGGAGAGCTTGGCTTTGAGCACAGTACTCACTCTCTGTAGCTTTGGCTCTTCATACTGAAAGTGGGGGTGAGGAGCTAGGACCTTTGAAGACAGACTCACCTGTCCACTCTCTGTCTTAGAAGGCAAGACAGGATGAATATGGACGGTCAGGAGGTGGAAGGGGGAACTGCCCAAGCTTCCCTGGAGAGCTGAATGGCCTTTACTAACTGACCGTTTTCCGATGGATGTGGTGTTTTAGGCATGTGGTCTTTGTGAAATGAAAATAGATTCCCCCTCTTTTTTTGTGTGGGTTTGCATTTTTTTCCTTGTCATATAGATAAAATAACAATTTTATCTGGGGAAAGTGGGCTTGTGGTCTTTCAAATTTTCAAATGGTCTAAAATATATCAGGCCAAGCTATCTGCACACTTGCTTGCCAATCTCTCTCCCTCTCTGCCTCTCTCTGCCTCTCTCTTTCTCTCTCTCTCTCTCTCTCTCTCTCTCTGTCTCTCCCTCCCTCTCCCCCTCTCTCTCCTCCTCTTGTATTTTAGAGTTTATTCATACAGAACATATTGTTAGTAAAAATCCTTTCAATTTTCCTTTTAACCAGTTTCAGGGGTATTTCCCCCCCTCAAATGTAATGTGTACCATGTCCAGTATTTCTAGATCAAAACAATGTATTAAACATGCTCCTTACAGAATGTAATTTCAATATTTGGACTATTATACATTCCCTGTATGAGAGCTACTTGACTACTATTGCTCAGGTTGATGACTGAACCTATTTTATCAGGTAGGTAGAGTAATATTTAATGTGTTGAATATTCTTCTGAAAAGGCAAAGCATTGCAGGTACTCATGATGAAGCTGAGCATTAACTATACCAGTCAGTGTATGCGCAGATGAGAGCTAATCTACATTGTGGCACTACTGGTAGTTTTTATTGTTTGTCCCATTTTTGTATGGGACAATTGAAGGCTAAGAATGAATGGGGGGGGTAGGTATTGGATTTAAAATGGCCACCAAAGGCCAGTAGGTAAAATGTTACATACATCTTTGGCTTGGTGCCATTGAAAGGTAATCGGAACATTACAAGTTGAAGCCTTATGGGGAGGTTTTAGTTCAGGGCATTGGGGCGGGGTGTGCCCTCCAAAAGGGCATGCGACTCTTTCTACTTCAACATCCAGACAGGATGTGAAAGAGTTTCTTTACTGTGCTTTCCCTCCATGACATACTAGGTCACCACAGGCCCAGTGCAATGGGCATGGGTCAGTTATGGACCAGCAGCTCCAGAACTGGGAGCCACGTAAGACCTCTATGTGGGTTCACCTGGGGTTCTTGCTACGCAAGAAAACTGACTAACAAGGGAAGCAGACCTGCCTCCAAAGGGGTCAGATTCTCGTGCCTGGTGAAAAGCACCCTGGGAAGTGTAAGAGAGAAAATGCAAACCCAGCAGAGATGAGAAGGGAATGCGCCAGCTGACTGGCTAAACAATGTTCAGATTGACCCCCACAATTTCACTTTCCTTTTCTTGATTCTTTTACTCTTCAGTTTCTTGTGAAGCCGGCAAGCAGAGAGGGGAAGTCACTGAAGCCTGTTCAAACTCTGCCTTTCGATTTATATTAGCTATGTTTCTCATCAGTGTGACGGGTTAGCTGACATAAGCCACTTGAGGAAGGAGGATTTTCTTTTAGTTCAAGGCGTCAGTCTGTTCTGGGGATGGCATGGCAGAGTATGTGATGCGGGCTCATCATGTGTCGAGGTACCAGAAGCAAGGCCTGGCTATCACTCCTCAAAGTAGCTCCTAGTGGCTTGGATCTGCCCCATGTTCAAGGGTTCCCCAACTTCCCCAAACAGCATCATCGACTGGAGACCCAGTGCTCAAATATATGAGCATCTTACAGTCACAGCAGAGTCCCGTTAATGGCAGCCATACTGCGTGTGATAAAAATCCTGGGCTCTTGCTGACAGCAGGACAGCCAGAGCTGAGGGACAGAAAACGGTAGCTCCCCCTCGTCTTTCCCTAGATTTTCTTTGTAGACTCTTGGTTCTCAGTATGGGTCCTTGGGTCTGTAGCATCAGCATCACTTGGGAATTTGCTACATATTCAAATTCTCAGGACATTTGGATTTCCTTCCAGACTCTCTGAATGTGCCCAGGCCTGGGCCTCACAAGCTGCATCTAAGGGAGACCTCAGGTGATCCTGCCAGGACAGGGCCCATTGTTCTGCAGTAAACCATTGCTTTCAGAGGCTATTGGAGGTGTTTGTGAGAAGGAGAGGCAGAAAGGGGGCTGATTTATAACGCCGTTTCAAGGTCATAACCATGGTTTCATTTTAATCTCAAGTGATATAAATGCAATTTGCTTTACAGCATACAGGCCATTGTTTGGGAGTGGGAGGTGTGTGTGGGAGTGGGGGGGGGCAGCTGGAAGCTGCAGTCCCACCTGGCTTTACATTTCATGAGATCATGAGATCATGAGACGCATGGAGTGTGGCAAAGTGGGCGGCCAGGAGCAGGGTGTGGGTGGGGAAGAGACGTCGACAGGACGCAGGGAGGAACCAGGGTCCAAGGGTCCCTTCTTCCAGCCGCCCAGGTTGGGGATGGACAGAGTGTGTTCTTCTATAATGCGAACTTCCTGCTGCAACAAATTAAAAACGAGGGAAGAAGTTGGGAGGGGAAAATAATGCACAAAATAGCAAACACTGTACTTAGGGATGGGAGCCAATAGGTTTTCCAAATTAGTGCAATAATGTTTTTAAAAATTACATATACATGTATGATTACATACATATATACACACACCACCTATCTATCTCTCTACCTGTCTGTCTGTCTGTCTGTCTATCTACCTATCTATCATCTGTCCCTCTAGATACACAGGTTGTGTGTGTGTGCGTGCGCACATACACAGAGATCAGAAGACAACTCTGTTGACCCTTTGCCTTTATATGGTCCCCAGGACCGAACTCAGATTCCCAGCACTGTGCAGCAAATGCCCTTTACCATGGTGTGACCTTAGCAGCCTGAAATTCTTTTTTTTTTTTTTTTTCTTTTGAGATAGGGTCTCATTTTGTAGCTCTGGCTGTCCTAGAACTCACTCCATAGACCAGGCTGGCCTTGAACACGGAGACCCATCTGCCTCTGCCTCCTGAGTGCTGGGACTAAAGGTGTGCACGTGCCACTACAGCCAGGTTGTCCCTGCTTCCTTCTTCCTGCATTCAAACTCTGATTTGCTATAGAAGACACAATGAACACTCACCCCCCCCCCCATCTCCAAAATCAGGTTACGATGCAGCCCGCTTGGCAGTAGTCTTACAACTTCTGAGCTGTGGAAATATCAAAAACTTGGACACACATCATTTAGATTGACATAAACAAAATGAACCAGATGGGTCACTACTGATCTTCGACAACTGGCAGATGCTAAAGATTTATCATCAAGCCTCGGAGATGTGATTAACCTTTACAAGAGCTACGTTTGTTGGATTGATCTTCAGTTGATAGATAGGCTTTCCTTCCCATCTCTAATTTATAGCATTTTAAATGGAGACATAGTGCTTTTTCTC